GTACGGTGCAGCCCAAATCCATTTTATTAGAAACGTCTCTACTCTATTTCTTTCCACGGCCCATAGCTGGGCCAACGACTGGTGGTTTGAATTGAGTACGGCGCAGATGCCGTAATAATGCGTGGAGCTCCACCCACCGGGTTGCAGGCGTGTTTTCACGATACACGCACCACCCTCTTAGAACCTATCCGGAAGGGAAGGTCCGCAGGCCAAAACTAGACCTTTTGTGCGGTCCAGTACAGTTCAGTCAAAAGAGCGACCAAAAGGGTTGTGCGACAGCAGGCATCGACCCGGTACTCGCCATATGTTGTACAAAGGAAAAAAGAAAATACGACCGTGTACTGTACCATGTTCTAGCGGATGATTCCCTTTGTAGCGGCGCGCGAACTGGGAATAGGCCAGATTGAAGATCCCGGGGGGGCTGTGTGCAGGTTCCCTGGAAGGAGACGACACCGAAGAGGGTGACAGCGCCGTCTACCGTCGGACCCTGCTGTTGAACGAGGTGTTGTCGAAGATCTCTCTCTCTCTCACACACACACACACACACAGACACACACACGTGTGGCAGTGTATATTTCCATGTTCTAGCTGTAGATTCATTCATTTTGCTCATCCTATCCATCGAAGTAGCATGGGGCCAGCGGTGAGGTTGGAGACTTACTTGTTCTTTCTATCTCTCTCTCTATCTCTGGGCCTCGCCACACCACTCTCGAATCTCAAAAATTTTCGATAGCTGTCAGAACTTTTCGAGAGGGCGGTTTTCGAGAGGAAAGGGCCCTTCGCCACATAGCACACTCGACATTTTTCCTCTCGAACGTGGATCCTCTCCGCGGCCCGATTCGGTAGTGCTGTGTGGCGGAGCCGAACTCTCGAATGGGATGCAAGTCCGGTACCGCGCGGGGTCTGGGGCTGTTCCGTGTCCTCTCCTCGTCCGTGAATGGCTGGCGGAGTGTCGGGCGAACCGGGGGAAGGCGCATGGGATCAGCGGCGGGKGGACCCSCCGAACGAAGCCCCGGTGCCCGTCCAGATGCAGAAATTCTGTACTTTTAGGTGTAGGACGGTTTGTGCTCCGTGAATGGCTGGCGGAGTGTTGGGGGAACCGGGGGAAGGCGCATGGGATCAGCGGCGGATAGACCCGCCGAACGAAGCGCCGGTGCCCGTCCAGATGCAGAAATTTTGTACTTCGGTATGGGACGGTTTGTGCTCGGCAGCGTCGTTTCCCCTGTCGGTGTCTGCTCGCTGTTGACGGCCGACGGGCACCTGCGTTTCGGTCTGAGGACAACCGGCATTGCTGTCTCGAGGATGCGTCCCGGTCATGGTGGAGGCTACGCTGAGGACCGCAGACGTCAGAGGGCAGCCGCGTTGCTGGCGGCCGTGATGGTTGTTGTGCATGATGTCGGGGAGATGGAGTCCATAATCCGGCAGGTGTGTTTTGTACTGCAGCGCAGGTACCGCTCCCGCAGTCTTGCACGGAGGCGAGCACTGTCGTTGGCAGCGTCTACAGGTCCGGTCACGGGAATGCTCATGGCGGTCATAGCATCCACTGACGGTGCGCGACGGTGGTGGATGAAGCCTAGAGCGGAGGGGGCATGGCGAAATATGACCAGAAGTGACAACGCCGTGGAAGACTACTTTTTCGACAATGTGCGGATGGGAGAGGGCACATTCCGGGGGATTGTTGTTGTGTTGGAGCCCTGGCTGCAACGATGTCACACCCATTACAGGGCACCAGTGCCGCCAAATCAATTGGTAGCTTCTGCCCTGTACAAGTGGGCTACCGGAGAGAGCTTCGAGCACTCAGCTACTTCATTCGGCCTGGGGCGGGAGACGGGCCGCGTGGCAGTGAGGGACGTCACCATGGCCCTATTGCAGGCATACCCGGATGAGATAGCGTTTCCGTCTGGGCGCCGATAGGTGGAGGCGCTAGGGCGTTTTGCTCCCAAAGGGCTGCCAGCTTGCTATGGGGCCATTGATTGCACCCATATTTATATTGACAAGCCGGCAGGGGAGCGGGCGAAGCCGTACTGCAACAGGCATAGGACGTTCTTCATTGTTGCGCAAGTTGTTGTTGGCTAGGACCTGTGGGTGTATGATGTTTATGTGGGCTTGCCAGGCAGCGTCCATAGCGCTCGTGTTCTCTGGAATTCCTCCTTATGGGAGCGAGCCGAGAATCGCACCCTCTTCACCGGCGACCCTGTACTCCTGCCGGGAGGGGTAGAAACACAGGGGTATCTGCTGGGGGACAACGGATATCCTTCGCTGCCATGGCTCGTTGTGCCATACCCGGGGCAGCAGGTGGATGGGAGCGACATTTCAATCTTCAATGACATTCAGAAGTCGGCGCGGGGGTGTGTGGAGCGAGCATTTGGTCGCCTGAAGGGGATGTGGCACATGTTCCTTCGGACCCACAAACCGCATGTGGCTACTCTCTCCCTCCAGTTTCGCCCCGTGTGTATTGTGCACAACCTGCTAATCAGTGCAGGTGTCCAATTGGACCCCGCCCTTCAACCATGACCAGAGGAGTGCGTCGAACAAGATCCACGGCCGGTTCCACATGATGAGCTAACTGTGGAAGGGGCGCGAGCCGCAGGAAGACGGTTGCGCGATGCACTGCGGTCCCACGTGGTAGAATTTGTCCGGCGGCAGTCTGGGCGGGGGAATCATGGTTGAGAGAGAGAGAGAGAGAGAGAGAGAGAGAGAGAGAGAGAGAGAGAGACTGTTAAATGATTTAAGTTTTTCTCGAACATTGGATGGGTCATTCTCACTCTCTCTCGGCGATTGCGTGTGTGCCGTGAAGAGCAGTCTATAGTGTGTTGTGAAGAGTAGTCTTTTTTTGAAGTTTTGAAATCTTGATGCTGTTATTGTTTTTTTCTCCTATTTTTTGTCTTCATGTAGTCCCTTGGGCACTGGGCCCGTAATAAATGTTGGTTTCATAAAAGACAGAAAAAGAGAGAGAGAGAGAGAGAGAGAGAGAGAGAGAGAGGGAGAGAGATTAGAAGAGAAAAAAATGAAACATATGTCAGTTCCATTTCTTCCTCTGCCGATGGCGGCAGCTTACCGTAATTTTTCAGGGAAAAAAAAAAAAAAAAAAACAAAAAAAAACTGGTCCAGGCACATTAGAGAATGTACAATTTTTTTGTGAGAGCTGTGCATGCGAAATTGTGACGATTCAAAGAAAAAAAAGAAAAAAAAAATTGTAAGGACGTTTTTGGAAGGATGTACGAGAGGCAGTTCTCCGTCCCCAAGGTAGAAGGGAAAAAAAAAAAAAAAAAAAAAAAAAAAAAAAAAAAGATGGTCAGTCTTCAGCCCCTGCGCGTTTCCAACTAACAACTGTGATACTTGTCCTTTTTGATTTTTTTTATCATTAATAATTGTCTATTGTTGCATGTGTGAGAAGCAATCTATGGCCAATGTTTTCACTATTCAGTCGGTCAATGCATGTACGAGAAGCAGTCTATAGCCAATATTTTCACTATTCTGTTTTCAGTATTTTTTTTTACTGTTCTTCTGCTTCTTGACTTGAAAATTTGCTCTTCTTCTTCGTCATCTTCCTTGTTGCCTTCAGTTCAATCATTATTGTTTTTTTTTTCTCTTTCCCCCCTTCAATCAACGATTTTGCTTTTTTTTCTTCTCAGAATCAGCGATTTGGTTTTCTTTTTATCTCAGTCAGCTCTTAATCAGCGATTTTTCTTTTCTCTCCCGTTGCTGTGTTCGTCGTCTTCTTGATCACGGGAGGTCCCTGCATTTTGTTCCGTTATTTATCTATTTTTCGTCTGCGTTTCGTTTAATTTTGATTTTTATTTCTTTGGTCTCCAATCTATTTTTAATTTTGTATGCCAACAGCAATGGACAAATACATTGTAGCCTTAAACACGCAACTCTTCCCTGAGGGGGGTGCTCTTTTTTTTTGAGGGGGGGCAACGGCTTGTGGGTCACAACCCACGTTTTGAATGGGCAAAAAAAACAGTCGTCCGCAGGTCCGTCCCGACCGTAGTTCAAAAC